AACTAGGAAAATTAAGATAAAAATACTTAGAATAATTAGGAAGATTATCTAGAAAGAAAACTATATAACTATTATAATCCCTATATTTTCCAGATAATCTATATTAGAATTCTATAAGATACTAGAGACTAGTAAAATACTAATAGTATTAGAAGGGAACTATTAATATATTATAAATATTTTTTAGGAACTTAAATAAAAGTATAAGGATAAGAGGGATATTATAGACCTTAGATCTCTTATTAAATATAAGTATATATTTTACTATATTAATAGACTTATTAAATATACCTCTAAGGAATAGAAATAGTATATATTTACTAGAGATAAAATTAAAGCTAAATATAATAAACTCTATACTTATTACTAATAGAAGATATAGATATAGGATCTGAAAAAAGTATTCAGAATAGTTCTATATAGAAGAGATACTATAAATACTATATACTACCCTAGTAATAGATATAATAATCTAATCTATATAAAAATTAATAAAGAATATAACTATAAGCTAGAATCTTAGATAATATACTATAATATATAGTATACTATATATTAATAAGAGAAAGTAGTAAATAACTTCTTTCTATTTCTAGATAGAAGAATATCTATAAGATATACTATAGTATAAATATAATAATTTACTAACTAATACTATAGAACAGGGCTCTATACTATATTTAAAGTAAACCTATAAAAATACCCTACTAAGTATATAAATAAAAAACTACTAGTAGAATTTTATTAAGAGTAAGGATATAAGATTTATAAAAATAATAAGATTAAGCTATAGTATAATTACTAATAGATAGAAGATTAGATAATATATAAGTATAATAGCTATATTAAATAGTACTATAATTAGAACTATAGAAACTATTAAGAGATTAAGTAAGAAGTACTAGTACTAGTATAGAATAGTAATAATAATATAAATACTATTAAATTATATCTTAAATAATAATAACTATAGAAGGAAGAACTCTAGGAATATTACTTAAGAGGATAATTATTCCCTATAGATAGTAAGAAAAATAGTAATAAGGAGGAATTAAAAATAATCTTAACTAATAAAAAAGAATAGGATAAAGTCTACTCTAATAATAGAATACTTATAATAATTAAGGAATTATATACTTAGAGAATTAAGTTTATAAAATATATCTCTAGTTATATAGAAGAACTAGAAGACCTTAAGAATATCCTTAAATAGATACTAAGAAATAATAAAGATTAGAAATAACTTTAAGAATAAGTTAATTAGATAAAAAATAATCTAAACTATCTATAATAGAGCTATAGTATAGAATAAAATTAATAATAGGTTAGAGAACTCTAGAAGCTATAGAAGTAGAAAGCTCTATATATATCCTTATAGAAATAGAGATTAAGAGGAACTAGTTTATAGTATTTATTAACTATAGAGTATAGGAAAATTATATCTTATTAGTAGTAATTAACTAACTCTATCTACTATAAAAAAGAAAGAAAGAAATCTATATAGTTATAAATATTAAAAGCTTAAAGTTTAAATATAATAATAGGATTATTAATTCTAAGACTAATTATCTTATAATTAAAATCTAAAAAAGAAAATTTAATATTATCTATAACCTAGTATTACTAGAATCTTATAATATTATATTAGGATTTCTATAGCTATAGGATATAAACCTACTAATAAATTAGTATACTAGCTAGATAGAGTAAAGGGATACTCTTAGATATTAAAACCAGAATTAATAAAAATTAAAATTTTATTAGATATTAGAAAAATATATTTATTTCTTAGTATCTAAAAGTACTACTATAAAAAACTATAATAACTTATAGTAATAAGTAAATATAGTAATTTCAGCCCTAATAATATTATAATCTGGAATAATAAAGAATCTATTATAATAAAAACTAAGGTAAATAATATAGATCTTAGATTAAATATAAAAATAAGAATTACTTTTAGATATAGATTTAGTACTTATTAATTAGAAATAACTAATAAAAGAATAGTAATAAGAATATAAAGTTAAATATAATTAATAGTAAAAAGAAATAGAAAAGCTACTCTTAAAACTATTTAGTATAGAGATTTAGAAATAGAGCTAAATAAGTAATAAATAAAAAGTATAATAGAATAAGGAAAAGAATACCTAGTATAAATATAAATAAGCTAAGTACCTAAGATAGGAAGAATATCTTAAAAATATTCTATAGGAGTATAATTATTTTAAGAAAATATTATTTATAGAAGAACTTAAAATAGAGCTATTAGAATATAGCTAGTAGGATTATAAAATCTCTATTATTAAGGGAGAAGAACCTGATTTCTATAAATTATATAATCTTATAGAACCTTAGTTATAAATACTCTATAAATATATTAATAATATATTAGTAAAAGGCTATATATAACTATTAACTTTATCTATAGAATACCCTATAATATTTATACTAAAGAAAAATAGTAAACTCTATTTAGTTATTAATTACTAATAGCTAAATAAGATTATATATAAGGATAGAATACCTTTACTACTAATTATAGAACTTAGAAATTAGTTATAGAGTAAATAGTAGTTTATAGTATTAGATCTAAAGAAAGCTTATAATTTAATATAAATTAAGAAAGAAGATAAATAGAAAATAGTATTTAGAATAAAGTTTAGTCTCTATAAGTATCTTATTATACTCTTCAGACTAATAAATATACTTATAATATTCTAATAAATAATTAACTAGATACTCTAGAAATATCTTAATATCTTTATAATTATTTACCTTAATAATATTTTAATTTTCTCTAATAATCTAGAAATATATAAGAAATATATATACTAAGTCTTAGAAAAATTAGAAAAAGTAAAACTTCTTATAGAACTAGAAAAGAGTTTTTTCTATATATAAGAAGTTAACTTCTTAGAATATACTATTTAATTAAATAAAATATAAATAGAATAAGATAAAATTACTATAGTTAAGGAATAGAAAGTACTAAAAACTATTAAGAAAGTATAAGCTTTTCTTAGATTTACTAACTACTATTAATAATTTATTAAGAACTATAGAAAAATTACTATACCCCTATATAATAATATTAAAAAAGAAATAGAATTCTAATAGAATAATAAATAATAATAAGTATTTAATAAAATAAAAAACTAAATACTTTTAGAACCTATACTATAGATATTTAACTCTATATAAGAAGTAGAACTTAAAATAAATATCTTAGACTTTATAATTAGTATATAAATTAGCTAAAAGGATAATAATAGAGTACTATACCTTATAGTATTCTTCTTAAAGAAACTATATAGTATAGAACTTAATTACTCTATTTATAATAAGGAATTTATAGTTATTATATATATATTTAAAGAATTTAAATACTACTACTTAGGAATAATATATAAGATTAAGATATATATAGACTATAAGAATATTTAGTACTTTACTATAACTTAATAACTAAATAGAAAATAAATATACTATACTAAATATCTATTTTAATTTAATTATAAAATTATATATTAAAAAGGATTAGAAAATAGAAGAGCTAATATCTTTAGCTAAAAACCTAAATATAAGAAAATAGTTCTAAAAATAAATAGATAGCTATTTTTAACTAATAATAAAGAATACTTAGTATAGAAAACCTTAGGAGTTATACTTAAGGAGATAGTATATACTAAGGTCTAAATAAAGATTATTTCTAGCCTAAGGAGGTTATAATAAGATACTAGGATAGTACTTATTAAGGAGATCTATAAGTATCTGCTTTTAGAATACTAAGGAGTTAAAAAGATATATAATAGGGTTAAATAAAATTATAATTACCTAGGTCTAAGAAAAGATATATAGACTATAGTTTTAGAATATAATATTTATATTAGAATTAAGTCTGTAAGATATAAACCCTATAGAGAACTTAAACTAGTTCTAGTATTAGAATAACTATAGTAATTAATATTCTTTAATTATATTATTAAACTATTATTATTTAAAGAACTTATAACTAGAGTAGAATATAATAGTATTCTAGTAGTTATTAATAGATTTATAAAATATAGATATTTTATTCTATATAAGGAAATAAGTTCTACAGAAGATCTTATATATTAATTCCTATAATATATAGTTAGTTATTATAGATTACCTAATAAGATTATATTAAATAGAGGAATAATATTTATCTCTAAGTTTTAATAATTACTTATAGTATAAATAGATACTAAATATAAACTCTTAATAGCTTATTATCTATAAAGTAATAGTTAAATAGAATAACTAAACTAAACTTTAAAATAATACCTATAAGTATATATTAACTATAAATAAGATAATTAGATATAACTATTACTAATAGTATAGATTACTTATAATAGTTCAGTATAGGAATCTACTTAGTTAATACCTATATATATAAACTATAGTTATAAATTATAATTCCAGAATTAATCAGAACTTAATAGACTTAATATACTAGCTGCTATACTTATAAAAGAAACTTTATATTTATTATATATAGAAATAAAAATAGAATTTAAATTTATTTAATAATAAATAAAAAAATATTATAATAAAACCAGATTAGAAGAACTAATCTTAAAGGAGAGAAATAAGATCTATCTACTTTATAAAAATATTATAATAATAAGGCTAAGTAATAAATTAGACTATAAAAAACTTAAATTATTTAAAATTCTTAAGAAAAAATCAGATACTAACTATAAACTCTTACTACTAGATATAATATATATTTACCCAGTTTTTTATATCTTATTACTTAAAAAAGTACTAGATAATATACTAGATTAAGATTATCTAATTAAAGTTTATAAAGAAGAATTTAAACTAGAAAAAATTCTAAAAAAGAAAGTTAAAAATAAATAAACTTTCTACTTAGTAAAATAGAAGGGATATACTAATAAAGATAATATCTAGGAACTTATTAAATATTTAAAGAATTATTAATAACTTATTCAGTAGTATTACTAGAACTAGAAATATCTATCCTGATAAACTAAGAAGGAGATAGTTCTATACCCTCCTAAAGAAATACTAGATTAATCTTAATCTCTAAGAATATAGGCTTAGATAAAAATATAGCTAGAGATAAGATCTATTTTTAGACTATCTCCTCTATCTCCTTTTACTTAATATACTCTAGTTCCTCTATACTATTAATACTATAAGATACTACCTATATTATCTTATCTAACTATAATTTCTTTTATTAATAAAGATACTGGATTTTTATATCTATATAATAATACTCCTTCTCTACTATCTCTAGTTTAAACTCCAGTTTACTATACTAATTAGTAATATACCTTAGCTGCTCTAGTATAAGGCCTTAAGTATTATAATATAGCTAATTATTTTTAATATAGTAAAAATAATAAGATAAAGAACCCTTTAATCTGAAGTATTTATAACTATAGGATTTATAATAGCTATACTCTAACTGTATTACTAAAGGATTTAATAAAATAGTATTAATAAGAGTATTATACTAAAGGATCTTTTTATAGAAAGCTTTCTATATATAATTAGATATTATTATAGACTATAAGGGGAATATAGAATTAAATTAGAAAAGACTTACTAATAAACTATAGAATATAGTCTTAAGGATATAACTAATAGAGAGAGGACCTTATATTATAAATTATATTATTATATATTAAAGTTATATAGATTACCCTACTCTTTCTAACTAATTACTAATAGATTATCAGGATCTTATAATAATCCTAATAATCCAGAATAATAGATTATTACTAAGTATTAATAATCCTCTAGTATATATATATATTTATTTACTAAATAGAATACTCCTTTCAGATAGTTATTAATATAATTATCTATATATCTATTATTACTAGCTCTATAATACTTATATATTAATAGTAACTTATATTATATAGCTTAAGATAACCTAATTATACTACTTAGAATAATACTCTAACTAGTTTAACCCTAACCTACCCTAGACCCTATCCAGTATAAGTTATCTAACTGTTATACTTTAGTAATCTTAAAAGCCTATAGTATCTATTTAATATACTGAGGCTGAGAGAGATATAGAGCTTTCTTAGGCCTATCTTAGTAAATTTAAACCCCTAAGAAGAAGGCTACTAGTTCCTTATCTTCTATAGGGTAAACTCTATAAATTTCCTTTTTTAGCTTATTTATATAGCTAATTTCAGGGCTTATTATAAAGCAGTTATCTATATAGATTACTATAAAGGTAGTTTTTTTAGTATTATAGAAAACTACTAGGTCTGAGATTAGAGAGCTAAAGCCTAGAGACTTTAGCAGAGCTTTTAGAGCCTCTTACTATTCCCTAGGGAACTGCTTTAGGCTATATAGGGCTTTTAGTAGTAGGATAACCTGTTCTTTAGAAGGGTTATAACCCTAAGACTTAGCTATAGTAAGTAATTCAGAGCTTTTATTTAGAAGCTCCTTCAGGCCTTCAGGGAGTTTTATATAGAGCTTTTTAGTAAATTTACTATTTAAAAAAGCCTCTATAAAGTTAATTTACTTAATATTATAGTTATATATAGCTACTAGAGCTAATAGTAGCCTCTAGATCAGAGGAATAACTATAGAAGTAAAAGTTTTACTATAATCTAGGCCTTCTACCTATAAGAACCTTCTAATAATAAGCCTAGCTTTATATTTTAGCAGCTTATTATAAAGATCAAGCTTTAGCTTTAGTATATACCTATAGCTTAGAGCTCTATAGCCCTTAGGTAGATCTTTTAGTACTATAAAAGAGAAGGTTCTAGTATATATTAGCTGCTTAAGTTTAGTAAAGATAGCCTATAGCTAAGGCTCTCTCTCTTTTAGTAATAGCTTTAGTATCTCTTTCTAGTTATTAGGCTCTAGTAAGAGCCTAGCTTTAGTATATATTATAGTACTTACTTAGTATACTATAGCAGTAGCTTATACCTAGTTAGATAGATCTATTAGATTATCTATAGACTCTAAATTAGGTCTAGGCTTACTGGGTTAGTATACTATAGCTAGTAGAGCTTCAGGCTCTAAAGGTCCTATAGCCTTAGGGGCTTTAGGCTCTTAGGGTTCTAAAGTAGGTATTATAACCAGTAGTATTTCAAGCTCTTAAGGCCCTATAGCTAGCAGTTTAAGTACTATAGCTAGCAGGTCAGAGTATTCTTATAGTAGCTATTATAGTAGCTCTTAAGTATCTTTTATATACTCTATTTCCTCTATTTTCTCTTCTAAAGAGTATAAGAGAGAGGGATTTTATAGCTATAAGCCCTGTTTTATAGAGTCTATATTCTCTAAAATCCTTAGATAAGAGGTATTAGTAACTAGTCTCTTCTTAGAGATATAAATCTAATAGATTTTAAAGCCTAAGAGTATTAGAATTTACCCTGAGATTATTCTAGAGGCTAATTTATAGCCCTTAGCCCGCTATTCAGAATAAATAAAGACCTTATAGTAAGCTCTAATAGCTCTATAGGCCTGGAAGTTAGACCTAAAGGGAGTTTTAGGCTCTAATTCTTAAAGAAATAGCTACTAAAGAGATAAATTACAGTTACTAATAGCAGTATAATTAACTAACTAAAGAACCTCTAGAAGGATATAATACTAGAGATATAGTAGGAGCCTAGACTACTATAAAACAGCTCTAAGTCTATCTATTAGTACTCTTATAGAGTACTTAGCTAGTCTGTTTTACTAGTAAATATAGGAGCTCAAGGTACTAAAGGCAGTATCTTTAGTAGCTAGCTAATCTACTAAATCCCTTATAATTTCCCTACTATTATAGTAAAATTTAGCAGGATAGTAGTTATAGTAGTTATAAAGATCCTAACAGAAGCTTTTTATAGTAATTACTATAATAGAGCCTTTCTTATTAGGGAGGAGAATAACCTACCTATAGTAGGTTTTTTAATCTACTAAAATAAGCCTTATCGGCCTTCTGTTATATAGTATAAGCTTAAGATAGAAGGTATCCCTTTCTATAGAGTCTAGAGCTCTAGGTAGATTAGGGATAGCTATATATATTAGAAGCCTATAGCTTTTAGTACTAATATAGGCTAAACAGTAGAAATCTTCCTCTTTTATAGGGTTAAAATTAGAGAGATCTTCTATAATTTTAGTAGTTTTCTTTAGTAATTAAAGCTCTAAATACCCTAGCTATATATACTAAATACCTACTAATTAAAGTAGGTCTTTATAGGTTCTAGATACTTATAATAGGAGCCTAATAGTACTAATAGTTTCTTATATTAGGGCTTCTTTAGTATTAAAGCTAGGATAATCCTCTTCTAAAGGCTTCTATATTAGAACTCTAGTAGGTATCTTAGCAGGCTATTCAGTAGGCTTAGTAAGCTTACTAGGCCTTATAAAGTCTAGGGCCTTAGGGGCCTAGCTAGAGGTCTTAGAGGGAATTTAAACCTCTATTAAAGTATACTATTTAGCAGGCTCAGTAAGTCCCTCAGTAGGCTATTTAGTAGGCTTAGTAAGCTTACTAGGCTCTATAAAGTCTAAGGCCTTAGAGATCTAGCTAGAAGCCTAAAAGAGAATTTAAACCTCTATAGAGTAGCTATAGCTAGTATAAGCAGAGAGCTCCTTAGAGATTATAAGCTTAGAGATCTTTTACTCTTTTAGCTATAAGTAAAAGCTATATTTTTTAAAGTTTAGTAAGCTATAGCAGGTTCTATTATCTATAAATAGCTATTATCTTAGAAGGGTACCCTCTGAACTATAATATCTTATCCTACTAACTATATTAGTCTCTAGAATAAATAGGAAAAGAGTTTCTTTTAGCTTTAAATCCCTATAGATTAGAGGGTTCTAAGAGATTAGAACTTAAAATATAGTAGTTCTAATATCTATAGAATAGGCTTTACTAGTAGCTATTAGGATATAGCCTATCTCAGAGTACTTTAGAGCTTTATAGTTTCTATAATAAGCTCTATTATTTACTAAGTATACTATAGAGCCTGTATTATATAGAAAAGTATTCAGTAGACTATACTTCTAACTACTAAAGCTAGTAGTAATAGGAGCTACTGTAATTTCAGTAGGTTTAGGGGGCTAATAGGTCTAAAAGGCTAACTAGAAGCTTTCTTTATTACTATCTTCTAGTAGGCTTTAAAGATCTTCTAGACTATAGCCTAGAGTAAAACTAGCAGGTTTAACTAGCTTTTCTTCAGAGCCTTTAGGCTTAAACCCCTTCTATTAGATCTTTCTTTTAAGGGTTTTTTTAGAGCTTAGAGACTTCTTTTTAGCAGACTTTTCAGTATATTTAGCCCTGTAATTTATAGTCTTAGCTACTAAAGAGCTCTTATTATACTGTTCCTCTAGAAGGTCTACTATAAGGAACTATAGGTTCAGGGGCTCTAGGGAGCCTCCAGAGGCTTTAGTAACCCTAATATTATTCTATTAATACTCAGCCTACTATAGGAAGATCTTTTTTAAAGCCTCTAGATACTAATTAGCCTGATCTACAGGGGCTATAGTAATCTTAGCTAGTAATAATCTAGCTAGAAGGTTATTAAATATATTATTAAAGGCTTCTAAAGAGCTTTTAAAGTCCCTGTAATAAAGCCTGTAGAATTAGATATACAGATAGCTATACTAAATTTCAGTACTATAAGAGAACTATTTAACTAGTAATTTATAGACCTCTATAGGGAAGATCTACTAAGTTATAGTAGCTTATAAACTCTCTATATAGTTATCTTTTAGCAGTATAAGTAAGATAGCCTAGTCTGGGTCTAATAACTACTAGGCTATAGTAGGGTTTACTATAAATAGTAGTAATCTAAGAGCTCTAAATTAGATCTCTAGAGCCTATTTCTACTAATTAAAGTTATAAGACCCCTGTAATTTAAAGGCTTTAGAGAACTTATAGACTCTTTTATTAAAATCCTTAATAATAGAGTCTTTAAAGATCCTAGTTAAGGGGTTAGAGCTCTAAGAGCTCTGTAAAATAGGCTATTAAGAGGTACTAGTAGTACTAGAAGCTAATTAACTAGTACTAGTAGTACTAGGGATTTACTATAACTATAGTAGATTTATAGTAGCTATTAGCTACTAAAGGGTTTACTATATAGTAGAGATAGCTTTAGTAGTATCTAGGTTCTAAAGGCCCTAAGTAATAGTAGTATTATCCACTATAAGGCCTAAAGGAATAGTACTAGTAGTACTAAAGATAACCAGTAGGTTAGATATAGCAGCAGTACTAGCTATTAGATTAGCTACTAAAGGAGGGTAGGTTTTAATACCTTTAGGAGCTAATCCCTCTATATAGCTATCTTTATCAGCTATTTTAGATCTTCTTTAGTAAAGAAAGCTACTAAGACCTAGACTGAGGTATAGGGTAAGTTAGAAGACTTTCCTAGTATAGGGTAGATAACTCTTAAATCCGAAGATAAAGCTATTTTTTATAAGATAGAGCTCTTTCCAGGCTTATAATCTTTTAAAAGATTAAAGCCTCTAGTATAGAGTAGATCAGCTATAGGGTAAGCTAGGTCTAGGGTAGGTACAGCCTATAGGGTAGGCTAAGAAATACTAAAGGGATTATTTTAAAAGGTATAGTAGAAGAAGCAGGTTCTAAGAGAGAAATAGAGACTTTATTAGCTATAAGGTAGCTAAGAAGATAGACTATAGGGTAGATAAAAGAGTAAATTAGTAGCTTAAAGAACCTCTATCTAGTAGGGAGGAAGCTCTATACTTATAGGTATTTCAGAGCTCTAAGAGCTCTGAAGATAATATATTACCTTCTGTAATATAAGTTTATAACTACTATAAGGTTCTTATATAGCGGATATAAGGTCTGCTAATATAAGTACTATAGTAGATATAAAGTCTACTAATATAGCTACTATAGTAATTATAAGGTTTACTAACTAAGTACTAAGGTTCTTATATAGCGGATATAAGGTCTGCTAATATAAGCGCTACAGTAGATATAAGGACTACTAATACAGCTATTATAGTATAATATAAGATCGCTAATACAGTTACTATAGCAGCTATTATAGCAGTTATAACCGCTAATATAATTACCCTAACGGGCAGCTATAGTAGGTTAGGCCAGTAGCTCCAGCGGGCTTCCAGCTTCGGAAAGCTCTAAGTTAGTTATTTTATTCCTCCTTACCCTATACTAATCTGATATTACTTAATCAACTAGTATAGGGTAACCTGACTTACCCTATAGTCTATAGGGTAAATCTCAACAGGTTTAACCCTCTAACTCCACCTATATTTAATCCTCTAACTCTAGAACTAATAGAGCTTCTATACTTAATTAACTAGTAGCTTCTCTCTTTACTAGGCCTAAAAAGTATAGTAAGGGAAATATAATTTACTACTTCTATCAGGAGGAGTATATAGGAGACTACTAAGGAGTATCTTATAAGTTTTTCTTAAGGAGGAGAGTAAAAGCTATTAGAGTATTCCTATATCTAGTTTATCTTATATTAATATAGTATTATATAAACCTCTATATTATAATCTTAATATAACTTATTAGTATTTCTTAAAAAAGTTTTATATTATTTCTATAGCTTTATTATTCTTCTCTTTCTCTCTTTCCTATTACTTAATATTATAGTTCTTATAGTTTAGATTATAATACTGAATAATATATAAACAGGATTATTAGAAAATAAATATATTTAAATTAAGTAGTTTAATTATTAAATTATAAATAAAGACAGCTGCTTATATTATAGTAGCTAATCCCTAAAAATAATAATTCAGACCTAGTAATAAATCTAGCTAGTCTAGTCTAGTTAATAAATATAATTTAAATAATAAATTATTTAAAGCTAGTAATAATTATAGTACCTATTATATATAAAATTATTAACTCTGAAAGATCTAGTATTTACAGTATAAAGATAATACTAGAATATAAAGATTATAATAACTAACTATATAATAAATTTAGATTATACTCTGATAAGTATAGGAATATAAACTCTTAGTTTAGTTTCCCTCCAGTAGATATAACTAGGGACCTCTGCCCCTATATTATATATATAACTCAAGCTACCTAAGTATTAATCTATTTTATCTTAGATATTAATAACTACCTAAGAGTTAGTCTTTAATAATAAATTTATCTTTCTAACTTAACTTAGATATACTTTATACTTCTAATTAACAGTAGGGACTATTATTCTATACTTTACTTTTAATATAGTTTATACCCCTTTACTACTTAGGAATCTAATATAAGGATACTAGTATATAGGATAAATTAGCTAAGATAGTATATAGTAGCAGATATCAGTTATTCTATTATAACTTTATTTATAACTATCCTTATTAATATACAATATCAGTTTACTTCCTAAATACTAGTACTTAAAGAATATAGGTATATAAAGCAGGCAAGCTTAGCTCGCTATTCTATATCAGCTCTAACTATATATATAAAACAGGTATAACTACCAGTAAACTGTTTTTTAGTAGAAATCAGTAGCCTAGTAGATAATCTCTTTCCTATCTCTAACTATAAAACAGTTTATATTCATATACTAGGCCTAAGGGAACCACTGAAGATTAATATAATAAACCCTTTCGTATATAGTATGCGGATACTGTAAACAGATAGAGGCACTATCGAGCACACTTAAGATATATCTAGAGTCTTTAAGAGGCCTATATATATTAATCGAATAGTTATCTAATCCAACCTATATAACAGAGAAGTAGAGTCCTTCTATCCCTAGGCCCTTTAGTATTATTATAATAAGGGGATAGTTTAAAATATTACTACTAAGTTTTATTATTTAAGGGATATTTAACTACTATTTATTAGTATTTTAATATTTAGGAACAGGGGCTATCTATATATATCTATAGCAGATAAGTTTATTAGTTATTTTAATAATTAGGAGGTATAGTTATATTTAGAAGTTACTCTATAAAATATATACTCTATTAAAATATTAAATTTTATTCTTAGTTATAGAGCTACCCTAAAATTCAAAATTAATAAAAAAAAATCAAGAATAAAAATAAAATAAAATAAACTATAAATACTCCTAGTCCTAGTTACTAATATAGCTTTAATATATAAGCTATTATTTAATTTATATAGATATAATAGTAATTAAGGAACTAAGCCTATTACTATTTTAATCAGATACTGAATAAATATATATAAATAAGTTTAGGAGAGTTTAATGATAGTAGTTAGAAATATATAAATTATTAGCTGTTAGTAATACTTCTAATCAGAATAATAAGATTACTTAATTATTTAGTACTCTAGATACTATTATTAATAACAGGATATAGCTACCTCAGCTAAAGTATCTTTACTATATAGCTATTATAAATATTTTTAAGGTAACTAAAGAGAAAGTTAGAATTAGTTAAAGGTAGAGCTAAATTAAATTAAGATCTAGTACTATAAATATAAGTTATACTCTATAATTATACCTCTAAGTATAGAATACAAATTATAATCTTAAATATATAAAATATCAGTTATATAGATATCTATATATTATAAAGAGATAGTATAAATTAGAGGGGAAGTTTCTAATTATACTGATTACTTATAGTAGTACAGTAGAGAAAATTATATAGATAAGCTATACTACTATTATTAAATATTATACTAATAATTTAGTAATAATCAATCAGTTATAAAGCCTATACTGCGAAGAGTTAGTAATATAATAATATAAATTAGCTTATAGCAAGTAGTGGAGTTCTGTTGGGTATTATAAGAAGAAGAATATATTACTATAGATATCTCTAGCTAGGCGAAGGAGGGTAATATCTTAGTGGGAAAATTGCCCTAGAGGTAGAGTCTGGGGGTGTTCGCTTGAAAATTTTATAGATTTATTGCCTATACCCGTGCTAGTGATAGTAGAGTCTTGCATGCCTCGTATGAGTGATGCGAAGCCGAACCCCCCGCTTGAACCACGTTGCAGCTCGATGTACTTAATTGTTTCATGCGGGTATGCCAATGATGAGTGCTCGCTCATGGCCATCATGCTTAGACCCTCTGGGCCTGAAACTACTAAATCTTCTCTTGCCTTCTTTCGCGAGATTGAGTTCTCTGAGTCTCGCTGTTCGTTGGGACGCTGTGAAGCGGTAGCCCCGTAGATGGTTTGATTTGATTCCTCCCGTCCTTCGTTCGTATCTCGTATTACTTTGGGCTTGGATGATAGCGTAGCTCGAGCTATTTTCGATGCTTCCTTCGAGGCATTTTCAACTTCCGCTTCAAAGCTTTGTATTGCCTCCTCATGTTGAAGTTGATTTTTCATGGCCATCAGCTTCCTTCGCTTTTTGCTCGTACTGTGCCTATATCTTCTTCTTATTATCTCTAAGTATCCCGCCAGGGAAAAAGGTCTCGTATATACTGCAGGCGAGTCCAGGATCCTCTTTACTAACTTTTACTAAAGCTTTTATAACTTTTAATATCCTAATAACTTATTTATAGTAAAGTAGTAAGCTATATACTTCAGGTTTCTAATACTAACCTATAATCAGGATATTTTAAAGTATCCTGATTCCTCTGATACTGAAAAGAAACTAAGTATTATTCTTAATACCTGATACAGATATAAGTAATATAACCCAGAGTACTATAAGAAGTCTAATAACTATATAAGAAGAAAGAGTAGTAGATATATTAATATTAATTTAACCTACTGCTAGAGTTTCCAGATTAAGGCCCCTACTATCGGGGTTACTTATAATAATAGTATAATAGGTACTATTCCCATATATTAAAATTACTATCTTCAGATTACTAGTTTAATAGGCCTATATTTTCTTCCTTTATTATAGGAGCGAACCTAATATAAAAGCCAGTAAAATACTAGAAATAGTAATAAGGAGAATTAACTAGTCTCCCTATAAGCTGTATAGAATAGCTATAATACCTAGTTAAAATATAGTAATAAAAAAACTACTAAGATATATCTTATTAAGATATATTATACCCTTTTCTACTATTTTAGTACTATAGAAAGCTATATAGAGCCTAATCTGTAAGCAATAAGTAACCCCAGGTTCTAACTCCAGTTTTTTATCTCTTACCTTTTAATACTCCTCTTAGTATTTCTCTTTAATTATCTTATTAACTTATTTATATATCTTATTATTTATCTAATACTTATAGTCTCTTATAATATATTCTAGTATCTAGCTAGTATTATCCTGTATATAACTAGACTTACTATTTATAACTTTATACTTATAATCAGGTAGTAGTATAAGTCTATTCTCCCCTACTATAGAAATAATAGCAGAGATAGTATAGATAACCTATCCTAAGACTCTATTAGATTATAATTAAGAAGCTAATATAATTAAATACTGATAAAGAATATAAACTAAATAAGAAAGTTACTAGTATTAATCTAGTATCTACTACCTGAGTAAATACCCTTCCTATAATATCCCTACTAAGAATTAAAAGAACTAAGAAAATATTACTCAGATTAATCTATTACTGAAAAAACTTACTGAATAGTAAGCTAGGATTAAATAGTATTCTGTATAGATATAAAACTATTTCTAATAGTAGAGCTATTTAAATAAGATACTATAGTAATATAATTTATAAAAGTTAAGCTTTAAGTATAAAATTAAAGAATCTTAACTTTATTAAAATATTTCTATAAGTCTGAGTTCTTTATATTTATAAGTATATATTAATATTTACCTATATTAAGCTTTCCCCTATTCTTAAACCTTACTGTATTATAGATCGCCTGAGTAATAAAAATATTTTATATATTAAAGTTATATTTAGAGTTTACCTTTATTAACCAAGTATTATATATATTTTATAATATAATAGGTCTTAGTAATTATAGGGATGGTCCAGACCTTTTCTCTGGGAGAAGAGGCGAATCTAGATCTAAATAGGTTAGTATTAAAATAATTCTTATATTTAGAGTTTATCAACTATTGGCCAAGTGTTGTTTGTATTTTGCGATATAACAGGTCTTAATAATTATAGGGATGCTCCAGACCTTTCTCCCAGTTAGGAATAGGATTCTAGGGAAATATGGAACTACGAGTTGGTAATTCGACCCATGATTTCACATATCTATAGTTCGTATTTAGTAGGCTATATATTATACAGAATCCCCGTGATTATCCTCCCCAAGCGATAGAACAGGTCTAATGAGCATAATCTATAATTAGATTATTATTAGAATCTACTTTACTAGATACTGGAGATCTTAAAGTTATATATATAATCTATACTGAAGATATTAATAAAAAACAAAGTATTATTAAGTATTCTATAGGATAGCCGGACTTTACTATATTAATATAAATTCCCTAGCCTCCTCCTTTAACCCTGCTATTATCTCAGGTAAGCTATTATAATATATTATCCCGTCTAAATAATATTATAAAATAATCTGATAGTTCCCTTTACTAGCTTTATTCTGCTTTAGAATATAAGGGACTTTTAAACTATATAATAAATATATTAAGTTACCCCTATAAGCTATCTTAGATATAAGATCTATATTATAATTATTAGATAGAAATAACTATTTCTATTAGATAATAAGACCCTATTATTAAAGCTTTTCCAGAATATTATAATCCTTAGTACTATCTTAAATAGACTATTTCTTTTTATATACTTAAATAATATTCTTAATACTATATTATAGTAGCTATTTATAACTAAAGACCCTATTAGTAAGTATAATATAAATTATTTTACTATAACCCCCTAGTAGTTTATATTCTTTCTGGGGAGATATAGTATTATTAAGACTAAGATATCTTTCTATAGTTACAGTATAATTTTTAAAATCTAATATAGCCTCTGTACCTATACCCTCCTTATAACTAGACTTATAGTTAAAACTCAGCAGTAAGAGCTACTTAATCTTACTAATAAGCTTTCTCTTAATAATAAGTATCTCTAGATAATCTGTATCTTTCCAGGTATATAGTAAGCCCCCTGAAGCCTGAAAATTAGTAATAAAGTTAGGTACTAAAATAGGCTATATATAGGGATAGCAATTTAAGAAATCTAGTACCTATAATAGCAGGTTATATTTATATTTCTTATTACCCCTTACTGCTATAAAGATATCTAGTAAGCTAGAGTTTTAGATTATAACCCTGGAAGTATTTATCCAGGCTATAGATACTAGTAAGTTATAGTTAATTTCGATCTTTAAGCTGGGATTAAAACTAATAAATATATAGATTAAATTAAGCTCTTTTATTATATATAGCTATTAGAGAGCTTATATTACTAGCCCTAAGAAGTTTAAGAGTATCTTCTTATATAGATAGTTATTACTTTTATATCTACTTTTTTAGTTATATTAGATTAGAAAGAGAGTATTAAATCTGATAGTTCTTTTAGCTATAGAGTAAAAGTACCTACTATCTGTATTCTCTAATATAAAAATAGTACTTATAATTCGAAAAAGATTACTAAGGGGGAATTCTATACTTCTATAGATAATTTTTATATCAGTAGAGATAATAGATTCCTAGAAGATCTATACCCTGCTGAACTAGGTTTAATTTAAAAGCTAAGTAATAGCCTGGTATTACTACTATCTGTATATTATATTAGATAACCCTATAGATAGAAGCTCTTTGAGGTCTAACTGTTTTTAAAACAGGCTAATATTATTCTATACTAACTTAAATAGCTAATTTCTTAGTATTATAAATATCTCTTAAATTACCTCTTTATCCTTATTCTCTTTATCTAGCTATATAACTGTATATATTAATCTTTTATAGATATTACCTATCTATTATATCTGCTTTCTTTTTTCCTCTTTATCGATTTAATTAATATAAATCTGATCAGCCTATAAGTAGTAATATTTACCAGAAGAGTAAAACCTTAAGAGTACTATATATAGATAGTATATAATTTAAACTACTTTAAGCTTTCTAAATTTCTCCTTATACTCAGCTGTATTACCAGAGACTATAATAACTAGGAAGTTTTATATATTTTTAAGGCCCTATATATATAATATAGTCTTATAAGCTAGTATATTTTCCAGGGAAAATATATAAAGTTTATAGCGAATTATAATATCAGTAGTATTTTCAGATAGTAGGAGTTCTAATAATCTGATAGGTCTCTCTGTAGCTATAGTTAATATAGCTTCTAGTTTATTATAATAAATAGAACTATATTAGTAGTATTAATATTAAAGGTTCTCTAAAATAGATAGCTTCTTAATTAGTAGTCTGTTATTAAGTATAATTAGTACCTTATAGTACCTGTTTATCTCCCTGTAATAATACTATATTCTTAATATTACTTCTAAGGACTTATATATATCTCTTTTAATAGTATTACTGAGGCTTAAGAAGGAAAAGGGATAAGGTTGAGTATAAATAATACCAAGATAATCAATGCTAGCACTTATAAGTTTTTAAATATTATTCTCAACAGTATAATATAAAAAGAACTGGAGAGCTTCAAGCTTATATCAGATTTGCTTTTGATATACTGTTATATTGATTTGAAAGCCATATCCAGAGCATGCGGTCGGGGTGCATTATAGTAATATATACTCAGCTACGGCGCTAATGTTTTAGCGTTAAGGCTAGATACTTTTTCTAATCTACTATAAAAGAGAGTTTTATATTAAATACGAGAGCTTAAATCTGGAATCGCTCCTATATATAGGTTTAAACAGCTATCAGTATTATATTTATAATTACTGGATTAATCCGGATTATATATTATAAATCAGGATATATAAATTATAAAAGCTCTTGGTATATTTCTTTTGGTCTCGAGATAATACTTATAAACTTGGAACAGGACTATTCGTGAAAATAAAGGTTCTTTTGTAGTTTAAACCGTTAAGATAAGGTAATATTGAAAAAATTCCAAGTCTCCTTGGCTAACTGCAAGGCACTATCGTATTTTCAGTCTTCACGCTGCTTTCCAGCCTATTAGGATTCGAATGTGAATCATAGCCAGTTTCGTTCTTTAGATCATCAACGTCCTGAGCTTGAGGAACTGGACCACGTGCTTACCAAACTCTGGACTGTGCGAGAATCGGGAGAGTGTGTATCTCTATGTGTAGGAATCTGTTTCGAAGGCCATGAGTGGAAATCCAACTTTCAATAAATTCATGGCAACTAGTATTAATGAGAATTAGAAATACTAACTCCAGCTAATATTACTGTTGCAAGTCATTTATTCTGGCAGGTTCTCAACGCAGAATCTATGTATTTGGGGAATCTTGGGACGGGATACGAAGCCATCAACCCAGGTACATACACCGTGCTGCCGCTAGATTTATGCCATTAGAGACATGTTAATTCTCTTCGATTGCTATTCCACCACTTCTTCTGGTTCTTCCACCGCCTTTTCTGGCTCTTCCCTTTTGCGGTCTTATTCCCGCTTGTGGTCCCCTTTCTATTTTCCGATTTTCCTACCCCTTTTCTGGATCTGCGTTCTGGTTTTGTGTCTCGTTCGACACTAATTTGTTTGATGTAAAATACTCAGGTCGATTCTCTTCGATGTTTTGTCATGCTTTCTTGAACTTGATGCTAGCCTTAAGCATCGGCACTCTTGTCAATATCTGTGCTGCTCTGCTCCAAAAGAATACATGGATCTTGTTACTTGTGCACACGGTCTTTATGAGAATAAGATATTCACAGAGCTCCTTCATGCAGTCCACTCAAACACGAATCATGACTCTGATTGATTCTCTATTGGAGTCCCCTAATTCGCCGATAGGGCTTAGGGACAGCTGGGAGAGTCTGAAGTCTGTGGGAGCACAAATCATAGAGCTTACGGATTTGTCAAATTACATCACAGGGGCGGAAGAAATGAACTTGACGGGAGAAGGGAAGAAGGACAAATAATAGAAATTATCATTTCAGAGTGAGAAATTGCGCTTCTACCGTGATGGTCTCTAGATTTACCTTCCCAGGTAATTTGTGTGCATGGGCGCTCCGAGGTAGGGAAAAATTGCTTGCATGCATTCTAGTGAGCGCTAGCTCCTGCATCCTTGGTCTGTGTCTCAAGCAAGAAACCTAATGAGGCATGCCTTTATGAGACGTTTAAACTCCTCCATATTGGCCCGGCAGCCCTCTCTATTGCCGGTTTGTGGTAGTGTCAAATAACTGACCAATTGCAGGGCATAATAGGACTCGTCGGTCTGATCAATTGATGTGTTGTGTTTATTATAATTTGGGTTGCAGACTATATAAGGCGTAGCCTACGTATTGCCTACTTTAATATCAGTCGTTTAATAAAGCATGGACTGGACATCTAGTTTAAGGTTAGAAGTCTTGATCTGAGGTGCTAAAACAGATGTTAACTTCTGGTAACAAACCTACTACTATCAGTAGTGATGATGTCAACAGGCATGTGCTGTTAGATTAACCTCAGCACTATCACATCGCAGCCGCCACCGGTTTCAGCCCTCAGAGTAACTCTCAGTCTAGATTGTATTCTTGGAATGCAACCGCGATCGACTACAATCTAGACTTACCGGTAGTCCCTGTTGTTACCCTTAGGCATAATGCATGCATCGGTCACGTGGACCCTATAATTTCACTATACTGGTTATTTAATTAACCCTTCCTTAAGGACTGGATTATTATAAAGGCTATATATAAAATTCTAGCTCTATAAGCCATCTTTTAGATTATATAATGTTATTATATAAATCTCCTGATTTTTCTAATTAATAATCAGTTCCTTTTATCTTATTAAGATAAGAGATAAGCTAAAACATAAGATAAAGAAATCAAGAAGCTAAGTGCAGACAGCTGGATCTTCCCGATACAGATTTCTGAGAGGTGCTATTGGAGCGCCACACGAAATTTGAGAAGATAAAGGCGAAGTCGAGATCCCTTGGAAGGCGAACAACCTAACTTCCGGAGGTAGAGATGTAAGCATGGTAGACTTTCATGTGCGGTCAAGAGCCAGGTGAGAGCATGAGCTGGTAGGAAGAGTGTTGCGCCACCATGACGAAGGGCGTCAATTTTGATTCTGTGCAATTCTTTGGTCTCGAATTCTATAGATCGTGTCGTGTGCATAGGTTCTTGACTACAACGAGATTCGTATAATGGGGCTAGAAATACTACTAGTAGATATACATGATGTACTGATACTAGTTACTTGCGAAGTCTTTATGTATTTACTTTTAAGAAGCTTCAGTATATTTTCCCTCGTTTACTATTGCTCCCCAGATCTCCCAGGCCGCAGGTCCATTCTTCCTTTCACGATTTTCAACCACGAATGGTTCTGGAAGACTTAAAATTAAAACTCGACGATATTTTCTAGGAGCTATTATTGGTACATATCACCACGGAAATCCTAGGAGCCTCCTAGCCTTCAGTACCATCCACTGGGGCACGTCGGCGTTGTCCCTTACCGCTCAGCTTTTGGACGTGGCTTACCCGGAATGAGATCCTTGGTTGTGTACGCCCTGGCCGGGATTGCTATAGGGGCCGGGCTTGTTGTAGTTGTGTTATGCCAGCCTGCTATGCTTTTAACGCTCTTTTCGCTCCCGTTATACTTGATACACCTGACAGCTGTAGCTGGAGGATTTGCAGCTGGAGATGTTCAAGAACTCGCCAACTCGGCCGATAAGGACGGCAAGACTCTGTTACATCTAGCTACTGCAAGGGGATATGAATTGATGGATAAGTGGCTCTTAACAAATGGAGCCATAAAATCTGTCAACTCGGCCGATAAAGATGGCAAGACTCCATTATACCTGGCCACTGCAGGGGGATATGAATCGATAATGGAGTTGTTATTTAGGAATAGGGCTATGAAGTCAGTCAACTTGGCCGATAAGGATGGCAAGACTCCACTCTACATGGCTACTGCAGGGGAGAATGAATCGATAGTCAAGTTGCTCTTAAGAAACGGAGCTAGGAGGGCAGTCAACATGGCTGATAAAGATGGCAAGACTCCATTATATCTGGCCACTGCAGGAGGTTATGAATCGATAGTTAAGTTGCTCCTAAAAAAGGGAGCTAGAAAGTCAGTCAACTTGGTCGACAAAGATGGGAAGACTTTATTACACCTGGCCACTACGGAGGGGTATGAACCGATAAAGGAGTTGCTTCTACAAAATGGAGCCAAGCCATCTAACCACTTGATCGACAGGAATGGTAGGGATTCGCCGCATCTGGAATCAGAGGACCACGATGACTCATCCACGGATATACAACCGGGCGAAGTCAAGAAAGGTGGAAATTCGGTGTCCCAAACATGCTATATAGGAACATTATTTTGGCCCTCACGTCTCCCCAAAGGTATTACGAGGATATACTGGCAACGCCATTGTGGATACGGCTCTTACGATGACTACGCATCTAGACACCATGCCATTTTCGCCATTCAAGAAAAACTGAAAACGAGCGGGCTCAAAGTAACTATCTCTAGTCAAAAACTAAGCCTTTTGAGTGAGTTTTCAATGGCTGCGAGAAATATAATCCTAGGGGTTTTTCGGCGATATTCAAGTTCTGAGACCTCCAACTCTCAAATCAACCAACGCACGCCACACGCATCGGAACACGGAGGACCATCACAAGGATCTACGACATGTGACGAGTTAGATATCACCGATGGCAAAAATACTTCCTTCGCTATCGACAAGGCCATTTCAGTCTTGTAATTGTGGACGCTGTTGAATGACTTCTGGAACTCTTCTAGGCTGCCTGGGTCTCCCAAGCCAAATGATTCCAGTGTCGTCCTCGCAAAGTCTTTACCCAGCTGTCTAGTCAGCCAGATTCGAGCGAATGGAATTGCGCCAGAGACAGCTGCTATGATTTTATTGGAGGTGTAACTGTCACTATCGCGTAGCTTCGTCTTCTGCAGATCGATAAGGGAGGCAGAAGCTGTAGCAAGTTTTTTAGAAAGTATAGTATGAGCGTTGACCGTGTGGGTGCTAGAAGATGCGATCTCCTTAGCCGCAAGACCCTTATAGGCTTCAACCCATGAGTTAAAAGAGGTGAGAGTATCAACACTAATAGATGAAATATCAACTTCCATCTTATTGGTAAATCCAACGTACTCTCAGAGCCATTTACTATTGCATTCAAATATAAGAGGAAAGTACAGGTGTCAGACTTAAGGAGAAGTATTGCAAACATATTCACTTGTGGGAATAATTATCCAGTTTTTATAGATCCTCGTTCATATGTTTGGTAAGTTGTATATAAGAGATATTGGAGTGCCTACATATCATAGATAGGATATATTTTAAGTCGCTATACTGAAGCTAGACGGCTCAAGTCTCAGCCATCTGGCCTTATCATCAGCTTTGTGGCTCTATTGTTGGTTTTGTGGCTACATCATTTAAATAGTATAGCTACAGTGTTACGAATTTATAAATCGGGCTCGGGCTCTCTTTACCTTTAGCGAAAGACGGGGCTATTAGATTTGCTCTATTTTAGTAGTAATTTGTTAACTTCATTACGTACCGCATGCTTTACTCCCCCGCCTTTAGCTCCACGTTTTATCCATCAAAACATCGTACAGACGGACTTGTCCCAACTATGACCGGAAGAAGTGCGACTCATGCAAAAAGATGCGACGCAACAGAGTTGCCGTCTCATGCTTCAGCTGTCGTACATTGAAAACTAAATGCGATGGAGCTAGGCCAGTGTGTTCAACATGGCCATACAATGGACGGGTATGCGCCTTTACCCAGCAGGGCACACCTGGCAGGGCAGCGAACAGTAATTGGCCCACCTTCATGTGATTTCCCCGACCACGTTCCCTGTGAACGCCACCATTTCTTATTGAACGCCACCATGACAGATTATCATTGATTATAAACGCTACTAAACTGGCCATTCCTAATACATCCTGCTACACTATCTATTTTTATACCAAACCACTTATGAATGCTACTAAACTATCATTCCTTGTACATGCCACCAAGCTTTGGGTCGGACCACAGTTGTGAATGTAGCAGCTCGGCGAGGAGCAGGCTCTTGCCATTCGCCCACGACAGGCCATATGATGGGCGCCGAGATGCTTCTGGGAAATCATGCAAAACCTACTACGCGAGTGGCAGCACAGATCCGAGCCGATCCATCCGAACTCTTGTCTTCTAATACGGGGAGAGGCCCGCCGGCCTCACAGGCCTCACAGACAGACAGCAGGTTCAGGCGGTTATTAGGCAAAGACACTAAAATCGTGCCGGGAGCACTATTTCCACATTGGCAAGTCAGAAACAAGTTAAGCTGGTGAATATGCCGAATTGTTTCTCACAACAGCCATTCTCTTTAGAATACCTACAAGGTTTCAAACGACAGTTGAGGCTTGCGAATATGTCCCTTCCAGCCAGGCCGAGAACGCTGACGGATAGTAACTTTGTTACATTACGCGCGTAACCTTAATGTAAATAGGTCGATAGCATTATGGGGATTGTGATTATAATAGAAACTCTTCTTTTTAAGACTACGGCGAGGCTACTAACTTTGCGATATTAAATTGTGTGGCCGCTAAAGGGTTCCTCGTGAGCTAACTTGAGCGGTCTAAATTCAAGAGATTTTATTCTGTTAAAAAGGCCTATGCATGACGAACTCTAATTTTGCTACCGTAGTGGTGCCTGGAGTATGTCTCCATGATTCATTCCTCGGAAAAGCCTGACGAGAGCCTCTCCATCCTTAAAAGATAAGTGTCAGCTCGCTCTATATCACTGTCTCCCTTCGGCAATCTCCAATTTGAGGGCGGGCTATGTCATTATACAACTGCGCTGGAATCGAAGGCAAGCTTTGCTGGGATGGTCGTATGGATTTAGCTTCATAGAAGGAAACTTCGTGCCGCTTGAGTCGTGGCACTCACCTTCGACGACCTGGATGATCCGGACGCCTTGGCGAGAATGCTGCTAGCACTGAATGGCAATAAACCAAAGGATGCCATAAGCCTCGAACAAATAAGCCTAACGCCACATTAGTGTTCTCGCACAATTGCTCGATCTTATCCCTAACTCATGTCCTGCTTAGTGACGCAGAAGTTAGAGCAGACGCAAATGCAACAGGCATTTTTATGAGCGATTGGGTCTTAAGAATGATGGGAGAGTCTTAAGCTTCCGTCGGCTGATAAACGAAGCAGAACCGAAACATTATCCAACTCAACAACCGTAATATTCGGTAGACCTTCTTGACTTTGTTCTACACTCACAAGCTGCTCTCAGATGGGTGTGAACCTTATAGTTGCGCTTGCACAACAAGTGCCCCTCCAACAAGTGTGAGCCTTCGAGCGGTCAAATATATATATATATATATATTAAGCTTTGCTCTCGGGCATGCGGGCCTCGAAGCTAAGACATCCGACGCAACAACGTGAAGGGCTAGAATACTTGCTCCAATCTTAACCCATAAGAGACACCTACAAGTACCCAATCAAAGGACACGAGAAGCACAATGGTTAGTGAGCAATACTACAGACTTGGTGTCTGCTAATGCCGTGCTCTAGCCGTTACGGCAACTTTTCACTCATGCAAACGCCAGTCTAAGCATAGATACGGCTTTTGATGCGGCAGGAGTTGAGTATGTAAGACCAAGTCTATATCGACGTGGCTTACAAGGCATAGCATGATCGCCGTGCATGGTTTAAACTATCGAAGCAAGAAGGATACCGACCACGCTTGGGATACGTGGCGAACGCCTGAAGGATCGTCAGGACATCTCTGGCTCCGTGAAGACCTCCCCAAAGACCTTCCCGATTCTCGAGTCTTCCTATATGAATACAATGCCACAGCCGTGTATGGAAAAGACCAAAGCACATTCATGGACAAAGCGACCGAATTCCTCGAGGCGATAAAAGTTGAAAGGGAAGGGTCTGAATCCAGGCCGATCATCTTCTTGGGCCACAGCATGGGCGGGCTGTTGATCAAGCAGGCGCTGATCAACGCACACAACAACCCACTCTACACGCTCATCAAGGACGCCACCAGTGGGCTCGCTTTCTTTGCCACACCACATCATGGCGGCAGCGAGCCGCTAGTCAGCCTTGGGAAAATAGTTACCAAACTTGCGAAAATATCAGGATTCCAGAAAGGAGATGATGTTATGAACACGTTGAAAGGTGGCAGCATTTTCTCCGACATCATCCAAGAGCACTGGAAAAATCAGCAGCAGAATTACGACATTATCTCCTTTTGGGGTGGTCTTGATGAAGTAAGTAGTTGTGGGTTCAGGTCTAGTGCTGTGCTAATACGCTGCTGCAGGTGGTCCCAAAGGAGAGCGCTGTGTTGGGTCTGTCGGGTGACCTTGAGAAAGTCGTGAAACTAAATGCAAACCACGGCGGAGTTTGCAAGTTCGACCCAAACAGTCAGACCGACCAAGACAATCTTAAGCTAGTGCGAAGCAACATTGTGAACATATATAATAACGCACGCAAAAGCAGTGAGTTAAATCCATTCCCGCAGCGGATGGGGCGGGCTGTGCTAGGAACACCAAATCTGAGCACGATTATGCGAGAATTCTCCCAAAGACTAGTAAAACATCCTTATCAAATATATATACCTCGTAATCGAGCAATAGCCAGAGACAAATGCTAACCTTATCATAATTTAGAGGTTTTAGACAAGGCAAAATCCTATTTTCGAGAGAGGTAAGTTTAGACGGGATGGCACTCCACCTGTCAGGGAGTAGTCTAACCCAACGTCGCAGCATGCATCAAATGAGCAGTGATCGCCTTGATCATTTAAACGTTCAGGTCAACCGGATGATGGATGGGCTTCTTAGTCACCACCCAAGCTTTGTTGTCTGTGACACTATAGTCCGATATTGGAGATGCAACATTGAGGGCCAAAAGGTGAGGAGTCGCGTGAATCATGACGAATGCATCTTTCTGACGTGTAAAAGTGCCGGGAAGAGCGGGAATGCCCTCGGTGCGCGTTAGAATCGAGGCAAATTCAGCCGTCCCGCGTCATATCGTTTGAGCAAAGCGCGACCAGCCTCATTCCATGTAATTTTCTTGGGATCCACATGACATCGAGCAATGTCTAAAGCTGAGCAATTCCAGGGTTTTTCAAGTCAACCTTCGTCCGCGGTCGGCGCTCTCTCGGCAGGCCGATTTGGAATCGTTTCCCTCGGGATGCCTTTGTCAAAGCCAAGTGCGGTGCCATCCAACTAACAATGCAACTCGGATCCTCGTATGGACCGGGTCCAATCGACTCCGCTTTTACAAACGCCGTCACCGGCGCCGCGACCGAGTTTCAGGATACCTTCCCAGATAATTCAGGATTTCGATTTGCCCTCGTCGAACAATGCCTACGACTAAGGGAATCCCTCCCCAGTACGGTAAGTTTGGGGATCAGAACCTCGATGATTTAGATCTCTGACTGAAGATTTCTAGGCAAAAAGTGTAAAAGTTATTGACTTGGGGTTGTCGTTTCTCATACTCGCGTTGACCATATCACATGGTACTACCTACGAGATATCCGGTGGAGGGCTCGCGCATCTTGAGTCACTACCCCCCGAAACTCAACGCGCGTTGGACCAGACCATTCGATTCAAGGCAGACTTGTATCTCAGTGTCCTCCTAGAGCGGTCGCTAGGGAGACTTCTTTCATCTATCGAAGACTATCTGAAGCATCCCCAGAGAGAAGAATGGGCCGCGACATGTTTCACCATCTGCCTCCTTCTCATGGGAGCCGAGTCCCTCCAGGTCGACATGTACATCAATGGAACTAACCCTGACGCGGATGTTAATGCTATGGAAGGCGGTGTGATCAAGCCCCTAGTTGGCCTCTTCCAGGAGAGTACCAGCGGCCTAAATCCTCTCCTGATTGATTGGAGTAAAGAACAGAATGTTGACTTCTTGAGAGGCTATCCTGTCATTCAATACGCTCTGGCAGACTTACATGAACTGACTCTGGACTATGGTAAGTCACTAGGTCTATAAGATAATTTCTCAAAGTCTAGTCGAGAGCCCCTAACACCATTTGCAGAGGACTTTCTTCAGGATCGACGTTCTATACAGTTTACTCGTGAAGATACTGATTGCTTGACTGGAAAATTGGTATCTCAAGTGCTACTTCCTTCTGAGCAATAGCGTTGTTGGAAGCCACCAGCGTCAAAATCTTTATGTCGTGTCGTATTACGCAACCTATTGGTGAGTTTAATATGTTGTTCTTTGCTGATAGCTTTTCTGATGGCTTTTATTATATGTTTGCTGCGTCTGTTTTTTTACCTTTGTTATAGAGAATCTTGTAACTTTGCAGCGGCCTTCCTAAGGTAGATGCTGATCTGGGACTGTGGATGGGTGATTTTGTGTATCCAGATGAGGCGAATGGCCTGACTGAACTCCATCAGATACTTCTGCATTATATAATAATAAGGTCCTATTAGAGGGCATTAGTACATTCAGGAATCTAAGAAAGCTAGCTAAAGAACATCGGGATCAATTTATTAAGGCGGCTAATACTAAAGCACATCAGCAACATTTAGAGGCAACCGCCGAAAAAGATGGCCATACGACAACGGAGGAGCAAGACAGAGACTCGAGCCCTACTGACTTTTTCGACTGTTTCGACTACGTGTTCGCGGAGCCAGAAGATACTGAGGATGTTAACTCCCAGGTCACCGCCCCCATCTCAGCAAGGTCGGAAGAGTGGTTCTAAAGTGCAAGCAGGATTGATCCTTGCAATGAATCCCCTGGCCGGAGCGGCCCGGGTTCCATCTGACACATGTTACACTTAAAAACCTCAATATCCAACTCAACGTCTTCATCGGCTGTGAGTTTGCGTGCCATCGTGCAAAACAGGCGCTGTCTTAGAGGCAATACGAGACTCGTACTGAGGTGGTAAGAGAACTTTAAAATATACAGATAACCACAGTGGACGAAGCATTTATTGGCTGGAGTTCGGGAGATGCCTCTGTAGTAGTTACGGCCCAATTACAGTCATTCATTCTAATAGTCCAATCATTAGCAAGGTAGCGACGTCGCCGGTGTCATGTCAACGTCTCATCTGGGCCCTCGCCCGAGTCCCTTTTCATGTCGAGCGTGGCCGCGTTTGCTTTGGCCCTCTGCTTCCCGCTTTCTGCGTATATATTTATGACGAGATCGCTTGTAAGATACCCCGCGAAAAGCCGGTCAGGGTCCCGATCGATGAAATCCGCCGTACACTGGAAGATCTTGACGGCAGATGCACTGGAAACGGAGCTGGAGGAAGGTCGGGACTACCCTACTCGATTGTCTCAAACTCCTCGGCATACCAGAGCACCCATTGGCTCTGTTAAGAGTCGGTCAGAGTTCCACTTAACGAGATCTGAACTACGTTGGAAGACCTGGACCGCCGACACGCCGAAAGATACACTCTATAAAGACAAGAGTCTCAAAAGACCGAGGCTAAGCCCCGGAAGGAGCCGGTTCCGAAAGGTGCCTTGAGGAACGGAAGGCTCTTCCTTCGCCCCGTGGAGTTCTGTCGGGTGTTGCAAGAAGAATGTGTTGCTATAGATATCTCTAGCTAGGTGAGGGAGGGTAATATCTTGGTGGGAAAATTACCCTAGAGGTAGAGTCTGGCTCAAACTCAGAGGACCGGGGTATATTGCAATAGTCCTTATATTCGCTCTCTGACCTCTGTATACCCTCTGAATCTTTATTAGTAAACCCCTTATATTTACCCTTTAACAGTTAGGGTCTCAAGTTTAAGCTTTCCCCAGGAAGAGAACTCTCAGCAGTCTCTTTGAAATTCGGGATAAGCTCCTCTTCACTAGCCTGCTTCCTCTTCCTCTCCTACCACCAGGTTAACTCAGTAATAACCTCCTCTTCGCTAACCTGCTCCCTCTTTCTCTTATATAGCTAGGCTAGATTTAAAATAGAGCTCTACTTAATAGTTACTAGTTCCTTATTATATAAGTAAGCTATAGTTAAGCTAGATCCCTGCTCTACTATCCTTATTAGTTCCTTCTTATATCGCCGGGCTAGTATAGGGTTATAACCCCCTTTACTACTTAGTTCTATATCTATACTATTAGTATAATATATTCCTTTATACTTCTAGGCTACCCTTAATCTGGAACCCGAATTACTACTTAGTTCTATATCTGTACTATTAGTATAATATATTCCTTTATACTTCTGGACTATCCTCGGATTAGAGCCCGAATTACTACTTAATTCTATATCTATACTATTACTATAGTATATTCCCCTATACTCCTGGGCTTTATTTATACTAGGGCCCTGCTGAGCAGCCCTCTCTAGCTCCTTCTTATACTATTAAGCTAGTATTAAGCTGGAAGCCTGCTTACTACTCTACCCTTTTACTAGTTCCTCCTTATATAATTGGGAATTTTATATATCTGTATCTATATATAATAATAGTTCTATACAGCTTAGATTCTCTGCTTAACTTATTAAGTTATCTAATCCTTATACTAATACCTACTCTTCCAAGGTTACTACTAAAACTATTATATCTGATAGTATATATTCGGATTTATCTATATTACTACCCTTATTAATTAAATCTAGATTATCTAGTAAATCTATAATAGTATTACAGATAAAGGAATACCCCTGGTATTATATACCCTGCCCTACCTTTTATACTAATAAAGAATAGATTACTCCGGATTACCAGTAAGCCTATATAATCTAAGGCTGGACTTACTCTGGATTATTAGTAAGCCTGTATAAGCTATCTAGTATATATATATATTTAATTCTTAGTTAGAATACTTCTTTAGATAGTTATTAATATAATTATCTATATATCTATTATTACTAGCTTTATAATACTTATATATTAATAGTAACTTATATTATATAGTTTAAGATAATCTAATTATACTACTTAGAATAATATTCTGATTAGTTTATTTCTAATTTACTCTAGATCCTATTTAGTATAAGTTATCTAACTATTATATATTAATAACTCTTATTTAACTAATTATCTTATCTTAATTACTATATAATAATAAAGAAAATATTATAGTTACTATAGTTTCTCTAGTTTAATAATAGAACCCTATTATTAATAATCTACTTACTCTAAATAATAATAATACTATAGATAAAGATAATAGTAATAATAGTAGTAATAGAAATAATAATATTAAGATTAAGCTTCTATAAGTTTAGATCCTTTAGCTTTAGGAATATCTTATAACTATATAGTAAGAAATAGCTACTACTACTATCCTTATAGAATAGTAAGCTATTTAGAATATTAATCTTTAAGTCTAGATCTAGGCTATAATCTAAGGAAGGGAGCTAGAAGTACTACTTAAGCTATTACTATCTGAGATATTTAATAGAATCTAAGATAAGCTTTAAGGTTTTATAATCTAACTCTAAGTATATTTTAACTATTTTTCTATTATTCTTAATAGTAATAAATAATAAGTTATATATATCTATTTATAACTTAAGAGAGCTATACTTAATTAGTTTAAATCTATTATAAAAGAATATCTTAATAGTTAAGAAAGCTAATAAACTATTAATATTATAATAAGTTTTAATTACTTTATAAAAACCCTTTAATAAATCTTTAGAATCTAAGATAAGAGATATAAGACTGAATATAAAATTAATAAACTCTCTTAAATTAGATCTATCTCTATCTTTAGTAGTAAATACCTTTAGCTTTTAGTAAAAACTAGATAGAACTAGGAATATACTATATCTTATTATTTTAATAAGCTAAAAGAAGAAGTTTAAAAGAAACTCTATAAGGAAAATAGATCTAGAAGTATTTATAAATATATAACTATAGCTATAAGAATTAATAATTAATAGTATTATTAGTAGATCTATAGTAAAAAGATAATCTACTATATTAATATTAATTAACTATAATAATAATAATAATCTATAGTCTCTAAGATATATATAGATTCTATAGAGCTAGGAGCTATAGAAAAATATAAATATTATAACTATAATAAAGTTAGATATATTTTATCTTAATATCTAAAGCCTAAGAAGTAGAAGAATTAGAAATCTACTAAAGAAGATAAGAAATAGTTAGGAGTAACTAGAAAAACTAAAACTAAAACCCTTAGAATAGTTAGAAAGATTACTTAAAAAGAAAACTATATAGTTACTATAGTATCTATATTTTCTAGAAAACCTATACTAAGCTTTTATAAGATATTAAAAGATAATAATAAGAAAGAAGAGGAAGAATAAATAATATTAGGAAAAAACTAATAATATATTATATATATCCTCTAAGAACTTAAATAGAAGTATAAGAATAGAAGAGATATTATAAATATTAGACCTCTTATAAAGTATAAATATATATTCTACTATATTAATAAGCTTATTAAATATACCCCTGAGGAATAGAACTAATATATATTTACTAAGGAGGAGATTAAAGCTAAGTATAATAAACTCTATACTTACTATTAATAGAAGATATAAATATAAGATCTTAAGAAGGTATATAGAATAGTATTATATAGAAGGAATACTATAGATACTATCTAATACCCTAGTAATAGATATAAGAACCTAATATATATAAATACTAGCTAGGAGTATAACTATAAATTAGAATCCTAAATAATATATTATAATATTTAGTATACTATATACTAGTAAGAAAAAGTATTAAATAACTTTTTCCTATTTCCTAATAGAAAGATATCTAGAAAATATAATATAATCTAAATATAATAATTTACTTATTAATATTATAGAATAGAACTCTATACTATCTTTAAGTAAGATCTAAGAAAATACTCTAATAAGTATATAAATAGAGAACTTCTAATAGAAATATACTAAGAATAGAAATATAAGGTTTATAAAGATAATAAAATCAGATTATAGTATAATTACTAGTAGGTAGAAAACTAAGCTATATATAATTATAATAGTTATATTAAATTATATTATAACTAGAGCTATAGAAATTATTAAAAAGTTAAATAAGAAGTACTAGTATTAGTCTGAAATAGTAATAATAATATAAATACTGCTAAGTTATATTTTAAATAATAATAACTATAGGAAGAAGAAATATAGAATA